GACACATGAGACACATGACACACAGTGAGACACATGACACACACAGTGACACACAAACACAGTGAGACGTTGACACACACACGCAGAGAAACACACACACAATAAGACACATGACACACACAGAGACACATGACGCACACACAGTGATAAACATGACACACACACAGACAGAGAGACACATGACACACACACAGATAGAGACACACACACACAGTGAAATGTATGACAAACACACAAACATACACACACACACACAAACACACACATACACACAAACAAACCCACACACACACAAACAAACACACACACATACACACAAACAAACATACAAACAAACACACACACACACAGCTTACCTTAGCCCGTCCCTCTTTCTCTGCCTGCAGCTGTTTCTTCAGTCCATCTCCCTCTTCTCTCCCCTCCTCCTCTTTCTCCTTTTTCTTCTTCCATCCCTCCTTCCGGGCCACCGCCTCCTCCTCCTCCCACTCCCTCCTCTGTTTCTGTATCCTCCTCCTCATCTCCTCCTCCATCTCTGCCCGTACCTCCCTCAACTCTTCCTCTTTCCTCGTCCTCACTTCCTCCTCTATCTTCTTCTTCTCATACGTCACCAGTGTCCTCATCTCCTCCTCCAACCTCTCCTTCTCTCTGTCCATCTTCCTCCGTGCCTCCTCCCTCCACCTGTGTACCTCCGCCTGTGTCTGCGATCTCTCTCTCACCACTCGCGCCTCCAGCTCCGTCACAAACTTCTGCTTCAGACCTTGTACCTCCACGCCCACCTCTTCTCTCACTCGCTCCTTCACCTCTCTCTCCACCCTCTCCTTCACCTCTCTCTCCACCCTCTCCTTCACCTCTCTCTCCATCCTCTCCTTCACCTCTCTCTCCATCCTTTCCTTCACCTCTCTCTCCACCCTCTCCTTCACCTCTCTCTCCATCCTCTCCTTCCTCCTCTCTTCCATCACCCTCTCCAAATCTTTCTGCTTTTCTCTCTTTTCCTCCTCCTCCTTGACTCTTTCCTCCAGCTGTTTCTTCTCTCTCTCTATCCGCTGTACCTCCTTGGTGAGTTTCTCCTCCACCTCCTTCTTTTGTCTCTCCCACTCGTCCGCCTGGCCCCTCTCTCTATCCTCTATTCCCATCTGAATCTCCCCGGAGATATAGCTTTGAGCATCCTGCAGCCAACGACTGCGTTCCTCCGTCACTCTCTCTCTCACTCGTCTCTCTATCTCCTCTTCCCTACCTTCCTCCATTACTCTTTCTGTCTCTCCACTCTCTCCCTCCTCCTCCTCATACAAAGTATCAAACAACTTTCTGGTCACAGTCATCCTTCTCTCACTCCTGTTATCCTTCTCTCGTTCCTCCTTGTCCTCTTTCCGTCTCTCCATTTCCTGTTCCCTTCCTTCCATCTTTCCAGACATTTGAGCCAACTTTTTCTCCTCCTCCTCTCTCTCTTCCTTCAGTCGCTTGTTCTCTCTATCTTTCTCTCTCAACTCCTCCTTCTGTTCCTCCACAGTTCGCCTCCATGTGTGCAGACGTGTCCTCCACTCCTCCGTCACTCTGTCTATCTCTGCCTTGTGCTTCTGTGACAGCACAGACAACTCCAGCATTTTCTCCTCCCTCAGACCCTTCATCTTTCTCTCCATCTCCTCCAACTTCTCTCTCCATCTTCTCACCTCCTTGTTCATACTTTCTTTCTCTCCCACATTCTGTGTGTGTGTGTCTTCTGTCTTCCCCTCCTCCTCCTCCCTCCCTCTCCTCTCGGCCCTCTGTACCCGTTCCTCACACTCCTGACGCAGTCTTTCTTTCTCCTCCTCACTCTTTTCTCGGTATTCCTCCATGGCTTTCTCAAACGCACCCCTGCTCCTCTCCTCCACCTCCCTCCTCACTCTCTCCTCCACCTCCCTCCTCACTTTCTCCTCCACCTCCCTCCTCACTCTCTCCTCCAGCTCCCTCCTCACTCTCTCCTCCACCTCCCTCCTCCCTCTCTCCTCCCTCTCCTGCAGGAAGTACCTGAGCTCAGACTGGAACTTCTCCTCTCGGTGTCGTGCGGCGCGCTCAAACTCTCTCCGGTGTCGTGACCTCTCAGAGGTCAGCTCACGCTCGTGGCTGGCCGTCTTCTCACGCAGACACGCCTCCAGCTGGCCGACCTTTGACCTCAGCTCTGTCTCCGTACTGTCTTCCCGCAACATCCCATCACTCCTTTCTCTCTCTCCCCTTTCCTCCCCCTCCACTGCCCCCGCTCTCTCTCTCACAGACAACAGTTGCTCCAACTCCACTTTCTTTTCCACAAGCTCCGCCTCCTTGTCTTTTAGCTCCGCCTCCATATCTCTAAGCTCTGCCTCTCGCCCCTTTAGCTGAATTTCCAAATTTCTCACCAAGTTGGCGTCTTTTTCCATCTGTCTATCCTTCTCTTTGATAAGGTGTTTATATTCCTCCACAGTTCTCTCCATTTGTCTATCTCGTTCCTCTAACTGGGAGCTCAATGCCCCTGTCTGTGCCTCCAGCTCTCTCACTCTCTCTGCCACCTCCTCCTCTCTCCTCCTCACCTCCTCCTCTCTCCTTCCCAACTCTTCACACCTCTCTTCCACCTCTTTCTCCATCCTCATCACCTCCTCCTTTTTCTCTCTCACCAGGTCCTCCTCCTTCACACACCTCCCCTCTCCCTCCTCCCCGACACTGGCCACCAGTGTGTGCGTCGGTGTGTCCTCGCTAGCCTGTCCCAAGGTCACCAGCCGCTCCCTCGCCTCCTCCAGGGCCTGTTGCAGGGCGTCTCTCTCAAGGTCAAACGTGTGGGTCAAGGCCGCGACCTGTTGCTCGTGTCTCTGTCTCAGCTCACCCAGCTCCTCATGTTGTAGACAGCTTGGCTCTGTGGAGGAGGAGGACAGAGTGGAGGGACAATCCAGGAGGACAGAGAGTGGAAGGACAATCCAGGAGAGTGGAGGGACAATCCAGGAGGACAGAGTGGAGGGACAATCCAGGAGGACAGAGAGTGGAGGGACAATCCATGAGAGTGGAGGGACAATCCAGGAGGACAGAGAGTGGAGGGACAATCCATGAGAGTGGAGGGACAATCCATGAGAGTGGAGGGACAATCCAGGAGGACAGAGTGGAGGGACAATCCATGAGAGTGGAGGGACAATCCAGGAGGACAGAGAGTGGAGGGACAATCCATGAGAGTGGAGGGACAATCCAGG